ACACACACACACACACACACACACACACACACACACACACACGTCCTGACACTGCAGTTTTACCCAGAGTGCCTCAGTGGAATTCCAGTCTCCTGGTCGTGTTTAAGTTTAGTCACTTTTGAGAGGAGTCGCCTCTCGTAAATAATACTCCCTCTATTCTCTGTGTCCCTCTCTCTCTGTCTCTCATTTATTTCTAGGTCTCTCTCTTTGTTGCCCCCCCCCATCTGTCCCTCTCTCTCTCTCTCTCTCTCTCTAGTTTTATTTCTAGGTCTCTCTCTTTGTTGTCCCCCCCCATCTGTCTCTCTCTCTCTCTCTCTCTCTCTGAGGTTTTTGTGGTCTCGCTCGAGAAGCCAGTGTTCTGCCTCTGTGGAAAAACCCCCCTCTTCCACAAACAGTGGTGGTTGGATCCTCTGGTCTGGGGCTAAAAACAGGACAAACCATTTCACACAGAGATGCACAGCCGGGGGCGGGCGGGCCACATGGCCGAGGGCACGTTCACGGGTCAAACATCCTCCACCGTCAACGGCTGAAACTATGCGATGGGACACAGATGCACTGGGACTGACCTGAGAGTCGTGGGTTCTAATCCAAAAGTCAAATTCAAACAATGAGCCGGAGAAAGTGAGTTTGAAACTTGTCGGCTGCATCAGTGCGTGATGTTGAGGGGCTCTTAAGCAAGGCGAGTCACTGCTCCGACATGGCGAGCCGCTGCTCCGACATGTCGAAGGGAGCCAGTTGAGGAGGTTGGGGCATTGAGTCAGGACTCTCCAGGGGGCCTTCTGTTGGTGGTTTACCAGACATGTCCAACTGGGATCAGACCTCAGGGTGGACTCAGAACTCGCTGGAGGGAGCACGTATCCCATCAGGCCTGGGAACACGTCTGGATCCCTCAGGAAGAGCGTGGCTATGGAGAGGGACGTCTTGGATACACTACTTGTCCGGCTAGGGACGGAGTTAAATAACCGTTCAGTTGACGTACAAACTTTAAAGATAAGAAGAATCAGGACAAGTGTGAATTTGTCGATCAGCCAGTTTAAAACTCAGACTCAGTGAAAACAAAATATAAAACCTGGAGAATGTTCAGCGACTATCGTCCAACCAGATCCTAAGATCACCTCCATCACTCAGTTTGACAGCACGAGGGGTCAAACTAATTAGCTCGTGTTTATCCAGCTCTGTTTCCATCGCAAACCTTCGAGATCATATCAGCTTTTACCATCAGTGTGAATCATCTGATGTCGTGTCGATGCATCAAGACGAAGGAGATGTTTAACTTCAGCCCTGAACTCAGTAAAGTGAAGCTGCAGCAGTTTGGTGGAAATGAAGAATCAGTCGAGCAATAACAAGTCTGCAGTTAATCTTCCGCTTGTTCTCTTTCGATGACTCCGCTGGCAAAGCTGCTGAACTCGTTATTAAAATTCGGCATCTTTTTCTCTCGTTCGCTCGACATCGCTCGACCCCTCCCTCCTCCGATGGGAATGGCGACATGGTTGCCGTGGAAGCCGGGGTAAATAAACAACAGTGATACCATGGAATACCGCAAAATATTTACAAGCGTTGGACGCACTCACAGAAAAAATATGTAACACATGCACAAGCTTCCTCACGTTTCTGTCTCACACACGCACACGCACGCACACGCACACGCACGCACACGCACACACACACACAAATTATGTTACACTTGCACAAGCTTCCTCACAATTTCAGTCTCACACACAGCCGTTGGTGATGTTCTGGTTGTTTTGGTCCTTGGCGACGGCGCCTTAGCAACCACTCAGCTATTACATCAGCTCCTGGAGGACGAGAAGAGACACCGAACAGACACACACGCCGTCTTTGTGTCTTTTTTTCATCTCAGGGTTGTGTTATGGGAACACACAACCCTCGTCACCTCACGCTGCTCCTGCTCTGCGGACAGTGCTCTGGCAGAGGGAAGTTTCATGACATGGTTTTGCAAATTGCAGACACAGCGCTGGAACAATTTCAGATAATCGAGCAGGCTGATTTTAAAAACACACACACACGCAGCTGTTATCAGCGCGTTAGTCGTTGTCTAAATATTAGATTAAACCCGCTTCCTCCAGACGGCAAATCAAAGCCAACGACCCGCGAACGGCTCCATTAAAATTCAGACGTTTCCCAGCACCAGCGCTGTCAAGATATGTCAAGTACTTTATGGAGTTTATGATGCATTGATACGAGTCAGGCTGCGACCTGAGCATTAATACATGAGCCCATATTTAATTTGTTTGAACAGTTTTGTGTTAATTATTTGGACATTTTCCTGCTTCATTCTCACGTGTGCTCGTTCGGACGTTATTCAGAGTTTTAACACGAGATTTGACGGAGCAGCGGACTCCGACACTTTCGTTCCTATGTCCCGCCCCTCAGGAAAACTTGAGGAGAAAATTCAGTGCAGGTCTGAAAGCAGCTGAACGGTGTCGTACAGAACGATCCACTCACCATGCCGTGGTTGAGCCACTGAGGGATGAAGTTGTCCAGTAGTTTTGGGTAGACCAGTTCTCTGTCGTACAGGTAGAGAGACCAGAATGTAAAGACCACAAACTAAAGAGAGAGAGAGAAAAAGGCACAACGTTAGAAAACAATTCACGTCTGTTGGAAAAACACGGAAATTAAGAAACAACATCTTCTCTGTTGTTATGTGATGAGAAATAATTCTTAAACCCCGGACGAACAAACGCAGATGAAAACATACAGAGGTTATTTTATCCACCGTGTTGATGCAACTCAACCAAGTGAAATTTGAGAAACTGGGACATTTCCAGAGGAAGTTTTGCGTACAATGTTTTATTCACGATACTAAATGAAACCGTGTTCTGATCCCTCTGCTCTGTGGTGGTGGTTCAGTGGTTGGATAACAGGAACTGGACGGTTGCCACATCAGGTCCCTGATACGACAGGTAACTTCTTGTCAACAGGCGAGACTGTGGCGTTAAAAAGAGCTCGCAGGACGTGAAGCTTTAAACAGAGAGAGACTGAAAGAAGAACAGAAAAGTCTACAAAGCCAGAAATGGCTATTGGATAATAAATATTGTATTTTTAGTCCCTGGATCCAGAGCATCACCACGGTAAACCACCTCCTGTCCCACGCATCCTGAATGCACCATAAGATATCAAACCTGTGGTCTAATGTATCTCCAGCTTTGGACCCGGGCCAGACCATGTTCTGCAGGACGGGGGTGGAATTACCTGACCGTCATCTGGGTTCCAGTTCGAGGCATCTGAACCAACTCCCCCACCATTGTACCCTGACCGGCATGTTCTCTGCTTTCAACGCACGCACACACACACACGCACCATTTTCCATAATGCTGTGGAAAGTACACGCACATACGCAAGATAAACCTACATTCCATGCATGTGTACAGCGCACAAACACACACACACACACAAACACAGACACACACACTCCTTATCAGTCAGACTAGGTTTCCAGACATTAGCTGTGATGATAATCATGTCTATTGTTCTGTGTGTAAACTGAACTCTGTACCCAACTCACGGCCCCATGCCAGCTGACTGCTTCTATAGGCGTTGGGGTGTGTGTGTGTGTGTGTGTGTTGTTGTTGTGATCTGACTGGCACTAAGGTTGCTTGAGGCCGTTAGCTACCAACTGTGTGTGTGTTTGTGATATGTGTCTGTAGGTGTGAAGTATGCATATTCATGAGTGTGTATGTGTTATGCATCCAAACTGAAAATGTGTTTGTGCGGCAGCTTGGGGCGCCTTGCCAACTGTGTGTGTGTGTGTGTGTGTGTGTGCGTGCGTGTGCGTGCAAGCGTACTCAAGCTATACAATTTGGTTGTGTAATCAAACGCTTACAGGGACAGACGTGATCATTATGAGCGGTTTCTGTTTTATTACTAATACTTTGCCCTTGAAATGTATGAAACTCAGTCGACACATTTATTAGAGCAACACTTGTGTCTTAATAATTTGTTCATCTAGTGAATAATTACATCTGTAAAACTGTCAGACAGAACTTTAGTGCGAAAAACTTTGCCAAAAGCTTCTTGATCTTCCAGACTCCTTTCCAAAGCTTTTTGTGGCTCGTTGAGGATTTAGAGCTTCTACTCGACTCAGATGCTTTTACGCTCTCCTCCCCTTCACTGATCGTCTGAGAGATTTCATCTGCAGCAGCTTTAAACTCCAGAGAAGATTCAGATGTCAGGGTTGGTCCTGTTTCTGAAACACTTTTTTTTCTATCAGTTCGGACACACACAAAAGTCGTCTTCGGATGTCGCTTCCCTGCTCAGTATCACAGATGTAATTTCTGTTCCCGAGGACCGAATGATGCTTTTACCCAGTTTGAGTTTACAGATGTGTCCAATCAAAATGTTTATGTGTCTGTGTGAGTCTGCACGAGCGAGAGACCTGAACTATCCACTTGTGACTGAATCAGTAACATCAGGTCCCAAGAAACGCTTGGTTTTATTTCTTGGCCCGCCGCCCAAAAAGCCCAGTGTGTGTTGCGTGTTGAGGATGTCGTGCTCTTTACCCAGAGGCTTCGTGACGTGCTGTAAATCATTAAAAATGTTTGTTTGTCTCACCAACGTCCAAATGAATCAGACAGAAGACAAGGATTTAAACCTGAAACCAACATTTAGGCCACTTGACAGTGAAAATCATCATCATCAAGAGTTTGTAGAAAACTGCTGTCACCACCCTTCAAGAGAACAGGAGGGAAAGAGAGGTAGAAGGAAAAGGGGCAGAAAGAGAGAGAGAGCTGATTATACTGCAAATCCATTACCCGAGCCTCTGATTCCTGCAAGCCAGGCTGATCCTTTCGCAGGCTATTATGTGTCGTGTGTGTGTGTGCGTGTGTGTGTGTGTTTGGACGCATCCATCCGCTCACCGCTCCAACAGGGAAGGCCAGCACGGCCATCATCCAGTCCCTCAGGCCAATCAGCTTCCTCAGCTGCCGCTCCTGCTCCCTGCTGTCGCCTCCCTTAGTCAGCAGACTGGACACATCGATCAGGACGCACAGTCCGAAGAACACGGCCTGGATCACCTGCGGAGACACGCAGAGGGAGGCAGCTCAGCGGGGCCCTTTAACAGCTGCTTACAGCACTTTCACATGACACGCACTTAAAAGAGATGGACAGAGGAAGAGTGAGAGACGGAAAAAGAGCTTAGAAGGTAAAAAACGTTCAGAGGCAGAAGAAGAGTTCAGAGAGGACGAGAGCTAGAAGCACAAACTGCACCGCCATTAAAAAGCCTGTCTCACATTTCATGGAGCAGCTTCTTTTCCTTTTCAAGTCCACTTGATGTTGGTTAATGTTTTTCTGTCCACAGTTCAGTCAGAATAAAATCCATCATCAGTCACGTCACCATCGTTTAGAAACAACAGAAGGACGTCAGGACAGTTTGATAAGAGATAAGAGCTGAGGGATATGGAATTAAAACCAAATCCTTTCGTAAAATATAGATAAACATAGATAACGAGCGTCTCATCTCCCAAAACAACACATGTGCATGACTATATGTATGACACACACACACACACACACACACACACACACACACACACACA